TCCCGAGTCGAGTAAAGCATTACTGGGTTTTTAAAAAGTTTCAGTATATGGCAAAAGGCTCACCCCCTATTACATGGGACTTATAACATTAATAGTGAAAAATGAGTGTTAAATTGTACAGTGGCATTAAGTTCCGTAATCTGCTCCTCTCCCTGCCTACCCCTTCGGGAATAAGAGGCGTAGTGTTATGTTATGTTATGTAAAAATTCCTATCGCCTAAATCAGCCCATACCCTACATGCGTACCAAATTTCATCAAAATTCGTCAAGTAGTTTCAGCGTAATTGACGAACAAACATGCAAACAAAAAAACTTTTAAATTTATAATATTAGTGTGTTTGGTTGCTGATTCATGCTATTGTTATTCAAATACCAAAATATTGACGCTCACATTGAAGAACGTTGCATTTGATATGATATGTTTTAATGTATCTCTAGAAATAGGTAAGACGTATCATCTCTATATTACGCATATCTATTAAACAAGTAGCCTCGCACTAGGGATTTTTTCACATTCGCCATTCGTATCTAATCAGGGTCCTTAGACAAAGTAACATCGCTTAATAGCGTAACGAAAAGTAAATTCGCCATCGTCTCTGAGATAACGATAAACATTTCCTAGCCAATGTAACACCATGGTCGTGATCGTTGTGTCGAATTCTTTGTTCGGCAAAAAACAAAAATATTGGTTATGGTATCGAAAATCCAGCTGTCAGTGACAGTCAAAAAGTTCAAATCGGATCTAACTCGCGAGATATTGATGTTTTAAAATTTTATTAATAAGAAAGTGAGTGTTGCGTTTAATTGTTTTTAAGTTAAATATAAACGATAATTTTACAGTCGTAAGTGAATAGACTTTTAGATCGTTTCCAAAACTTAATGATAATCAAAATAGACTCATTTTTATAAGTGACTGGTGTTCAAACGATAATGGATCTCTCTCTATTTCTTATCTATTTTAATATTTAGTGATAAAACATGGAATCAAGAGTGCGAGCAAGTTCTGAACAATTCGCAACGCGAGTATATGGAAACGTAAGTAAATCAAGTTTCATTCATGAGTACGTAATGTAAACAATGACGCGATCTTAACAATGAAGTAGGTACCTATTTTGAACCGTCGCTGTCTTAACCGTTTTTGGCGCCTATCCCACAATAAACGCAGAGAATGCATATTTTATTCTATTTGATCTGTATTAGTGTATTGCCTCTAACACAAAATAAATACTAACAGGATCAATCAATGTCAATAATCTGCTGGCGAATGAAATTCGGCCATATTGTTTCAATAACTACAACCTTTTAGCATTCGTTTCGTTATCGTTTTTGGCGATCACGATCGAGGCGTTGGCGAACACTGAAAGGTCTGCTTGTCTACGCATTTATATAGAATAAACACGATGACGATTCGTTACTTTATAGTTTCGTTATGAAATATAACATTGTCTACCAAATTGCGATAACGATGTCGATTGACCACGTGACTTAACGCGGCCTATGTCAATCCCATACATTTTAGTCTTAACTAACTTCGTTATCGTTTTTAAATTGTTACTTTGTCTAAGCGCCCAGGAGGAGGATGGGAATCGAAACCGCGGCACGTTGTAGAGTAGCTGGTTACTCATCCATTGCGCCAACTATGCAGTCGAATCTGTATGTGTACAGTATAATTATATTATGTATAGTCAACCAAGTTATTCGATATCATCATCATCATATCAGCCACAGGACGTCCACTGCTGAACATAGCCATTGGGGGGGGGCCCAATGACTTCCAGATATGCAGATCAGAAAATAAATATTGATTCAGTACACTGACAACAATAATTAATTGACTATTGACCCAACCAATGGTTACAAAAGATATGTATTCGTTAAAAACCACACCATTTACCTATCTACTCGTCGCGGAGAACCTAACGGGTTACGGGCTCCGGCTCGACGTGCAGGAGAAGGAACGGGGTGGTTTTTAGTCAGTAAGAGTCTGACACTCCCTCCCGCCTCATCCAGGCGGGAGCAGTCATTCGATGATTTTCCCCCCTTAAAAAAAATACCTATCTACTTATGATGATAGCAATAAACCAGACATTTTAAAAAGCCTTCTTTCAACCCAATTTTCATATAAGACGTGCCCACGTCAAATAAAATGGTACCTCACTTTTAGATCGCTTTTAAGACGACCTTAATTTTGAAAGAAAATCTCTGAAGCAGAAATACAAAGTAAATACTGATTAGGGCAAAAAACCTACACGCGTTCATGTCACGTGAAGCAGAACAATTAAATAGGGGAGAGGCTTAAGTATCGTGACGATCTAAAGGTTACGGGGTCAGGTTTGATGATTAAATCTCGAATATTTTATTCGTTATAATAATATTATTATATTTTTATAATTGATGGGCCTACGTTTGACCACTAACTCGCCTTGTGGTAAGCAATGATGCGGTCTACGATGGACCACGTCATCCCATAAGCAACCTATTTACTCGGGCCTCGAAGGTACCCTTCAGGAAATAGTTACAGACTCTGACTCTCAAAGAATTCCACTCCTTAACAGCGCACACAAGGAAGCTTGATGCGAAGCGCTTCGTGCGTGTGGGTGGAATATCTGCCATGAGTCGGTGGTTTAACCACCTCTTTTTTACTAGTTACCTTATTACATAGTTAAATGCCCTAGTATTTTTATCTCACTATTACACTACTAGACTTCATGCACACACTAATGTACAAGGCGGGCTTAATGCCTAGGGCATTCTCCTCCAGCCAGACCTTTGGGTGATGCAGAGACAAAAACAGAGTCAAAAACAATATTATAATTGTTTTTTTGATCGCAGAAGGCAGTGAGTGCGATTTATAATCCAAGGGTCGCGCGTTTGGTTCCAGTTTGATATAAGTTTTAGTCTCATTCATTGGCTTTTCTTTTCAATACACATTTAAATGTATTTTTAGAAGGATAAGAATTTTCCTTTTTCAGTCTTAATAACAACAATTACTACATAAAATTAATAACTGTCTCGAAATACTATTTACACTAACAATTATATGCCGGCTATACGTATGTACATACCTGCAAACATATGAACCAGAAATCCTTAACAAAATACATCACAAAGTCGCAATTAGTAGCGGTAGTACTCGAGAACACGAAACAATAAGATTACAAACTCATTAACTGAGGATTGTATCCAAATTCCAGCTGTAAGGCATGAGAATAGTTCGCGCCAACTCGCCGTGCCTGGGCCCTGGTGACGTCATAGAATTTGCAACGGTATGCAAACTGGAACATACGTAATATAAATTAAATAATATATTATTATAGAATAATTATGCTGTGTATTTCTGGTCTTGTGCTTAAACTGTCCAGGTACATTATTGTAGTTTTACATAAAATAGCGAAATTTTGAACACTTTTTAGGATAGTCAAAAAATCCTGCTGTTTAAGAATACCTTTGCAATGTAATACAGACTTATGATACACTGATACGATTCGAATGCCTATCACTGTCACACACAAGTAATGTCTTCGGCTGCACGGTTGGTGCGGTAGCTGGGCAACCGGCTGCCGTGCAACGTGTCGCGGGTTCAATTCCCGCACGAAACAACACTTTGTGTGATCTAGGAATTATTGTTTCGGGTCTGGGTGTCACTGTGTATGTAAACTTGTATGTTTGTAAACGCACCCACGACACATGAGAAAGTCCTAATGTGAAGCAACGTTTTTTATAACAAACTAGCGACCCGCCCCGGCTTCGCACGGGTGCAATATGAATGTATTATACATACAAACCTTCCTTAAGAATCACTCTATCTATTAAAAAAAACCGCATCAAAATCCGTTGCGTAGTTTTAAAGATCTAAGCATACATACGGACATACAGCGAAAGCGACTTTGTTTTATACTATGTATTGATATATGTAATATGTAATTATTGTCGTGAAAACGACACGACACTGAAAACTATGTTCTAATCCATTACCACTTAGACCATAATACTACCACACTTCCATCTACTCAAACCCATGAAACTAACCACCCAACCAATTGAATATCCCCTATGACCGACCAATATATCCACTATCAGACGGACATATAAAATGATCGAATCTATCTACAGCGCACCACAATCCCATTACCAGTATTAGCGCTATTTTACCCCCATACAGAGATAACCGAATACTTGAGACCCCCTTAATGACGCCATAAGGGGTCTAAGGGGTCTGCATGAAAAACGACCACGTTAACTGGATAATAGAGAAACTTTCTCAACCGCAAATAAATTAGGAATAGGAGTGAGATCGTAGTGAGAATTATTATTATTAGTGTTGGATGTGTGTGTAATTGTGGTGATTAAGTAATTATCGTGTTAATTATTGTTTATATTGTTGTTGTGGTTAAGAGATTAGATAATATTTGTTTGGATAATATAATATTTTTAACCGACTTCAAAGAAAGAAACAAAAGACTGCCTCGTTTGCCGAGTGGTCGCCAGTGCGACTGTCGGGCAAGGGGTCTCGGATTCGATTCCCGACTCGGGCAAAGTATTACTGGGTTTTTTAAAAAAAGATCTCAGTAGTATCACGGAGTCTGGAATTGTGCCCGGTATATGGAAATTTGCTCACCCCCTATTACATGGTACTCATAATATAATTAGTGAAAAGTAGGTGTTATATTGTACAGTGGCATTATGTGCACCTCTGCCTACCCCTTCGGGGATAAAAGGCGTGATGTTATGTTATGTTGCTTTAAAGAAAGATGTTCTCAGTTTGACCGCTAAGTATGTACCTAAGTATGAATTTGTCTGCAATTACCTCATAATCGGCTGAACCAATTTTGATGCGGTTTTGAGAAGTGCTTATTGCATTTAGGAAAAGTGTTTAGTATATTAATTAACCAACTTCAAAGAAAAAAAGAAATGGAGGTTTATTTTTATAAAGAAGTTTATTTAAAAGAATTATTGGTAATAAGTTGCAACTCAGTTCATAAGATAATATTTTTTCTGCAGTACGACGTCATTGATCATCATCACATTAGCCGTAAGACGTTCGCTAAACATAGGCCTCCTCCAATGACTGTTGATGACGTTATTGAAAGAAAGTAATTGTGCTGCTATACCTATTGACAATATCTTATACATCTCTAGCCTCATCCTAGCGATGTTGGCAATATTGCCAGTCATTGACTTACAACCAAATATGCCAGAAAAATATAGCCCATTTAGAAGCCACTTTAAGTACTTTATATCTGCTTAGATACACACATGGCTCATAGTTTATAACGTAACGATGCATATTGGAAAAATCTTCAATTGCTTCTCGCTATCGTAATGTAGTTTGAAGAAGTTCGTTCGTATTTCTTTTAAGCATTTTTTACAGAATTGAATAAATCAATGTTGCAATAAAATGATCAAATAGCTAAGAACGAAAAAACGTATAAGTCAAGCAGCCAAGGAAGAAAATCCTTACTAATATTATAAATCGGAAAGTGAGTCTGTTTGTTTGTTCCGACTTCACGCCGTAACTACTAAACCGATTGCTTTGAATTTTTGCAGACGTAAAGTTAGAAGTCTAGATTAAATAATAGGGTACTTTTTATCCCGGAAAGATTTGATATTTTCGAGGAAAAAAAGTATTGGTACAGATGGCGCTGTGTGTATTGGTATGTCACATAGGCTACTTTTTATCCTTTTGTGACGCGAGCGAAGCCGCGGGTAAAAGCTAGTAATAAATAAATTGTGTACGAACATAACAATATTACATAGCAAACTTATAAATAACTGAAAATGCTAAAGATATTTTGCAGCGTCAGTACTAGCTTGCTGGCAAATCAATCACATTACAGTCAATGCAATCGTGACGCTCAATTAATTCATAAACATAAAAATCTAACCTCTATTTTTGTTAGAATTTTAAACACAAGCACTTACTGAGCCATTACGAAAACGTAAATATAAATAGACGGTCGTACCCAAAAGTTAAACATGACTTGGTACTCGTGGCCTCTCGACGAACTTAGTCAAAACAAAAGCAAGTGGTAACAGCTTAGACCTAACCGAAACTTTAATAGGCGAGCTTAGCCTAAACATGCCCTAACAAAACTTATACCCTCTAAAAACAATTTAACCGAACTAACTTTCTAATTCTTGTTTGGTACCAAAATAGCTGTAAAACTATCTATTTTCAATAGGCAATGTTGGAAAAGAACTGTGAAACAACTGAATTTATTTCTGCAACTAGGCTACAAGGCAGCACTTTTACACGTCAATTTTATCAAGCGAACGATGAGGTCGAAACTATATTAAACTGTCAAACACCAAGCGGTCACCGGTGACCGCAACCTTTTGTTCTATAATTGTGTCTATAATGACGGTACTCGACGAGTTAATGATAACTTTTATGAGAGATCTGACTGCAGCAGATTGTTATTGTGATCTCGTGTAAGTCGGAACTTCTTAAACTCCGATTTTTAACCCAACCTATACAAACAAATTACTAGCGGCCCGGTACGTGGTTCGCAACGTTTAAAATGAAATAATAAAGAAATTATGTAATTGAAACATCAAATTTATTTATTCTGTATTGTATATAATTATTTATTCCGTACTGTATAAAAGTATTTTATTATTTGCAAGCTATATTAAATCATAATCTACATTTGAATAAGCAATATTCCATTTTGAGCATAAACAAACGGCTGCCAAATTTATATTGCCTGTTCTATAGTAGGGGTACCTACTCTAGAACAGGCAATATAAATTTAGCCATGTGAAAAATGTGATTCCTCTGCTATATCTATAAATTAGTGAACCCGTTCTTGAGTTATAAATAACAACAAAAAGTGGCATTGATTTTTATATATCGATGGCAAATCCTCTAATATATAATAAAAATCTTCTAATATAATAAGGAGGCTCATAGTTCAACATTGTACTCTAGATTATATTTATTTATAAACAAGTCAGAATCATTCTTACGTCTCTATCTACTATTGTTAAAATGAAAGAGATGGGGATGTCGTAAATTTAACATGAACCATAGTAAAGTATCAATACTTCGCTAGAGTTCTGAGCTCTCAAAGTTTTCCGCGACGGGGAAAACGTGGTTTCCCGGTGAAGTTTGAAGACGGGAGAGGTCTTATTTTAATTGGTATTAGGCATATAATGGCACGGCGAGGAAGATTGTCGCTTATTGGTGTAAGATAGAAGGTGTAGCGGTTTATGCACTCCAATTTTTCGAATATAAATCTGCTGAATAAAAGAGAACACATTTGACAGAGACTCGGTAGCAATACTCGTTGGTAAACCTAAAAATCTTTTTAACTGCAATGTCCAACCTACTTGTGAATCGTAGATATTAAAAACCGTCATTTTTTAATATTGTACAGGGCGACGTTTGACCACTATCTTGCCTGGTAGTAAGCGATGCTGTGGTCTACGATGGAGCACTTCGACCCATAAGCGACATATACACTCGGGTCTTAAAGACACCCAGGTAATATATACCCTTCAGCAAATAATTTTCGTCTAATATGAAGAAAGCCCATAGATTCACAGCGAATTATCTTGGACGTTGTTGTTAAACCAGTACCGAGATAGTAACCTGTTTTGACTCGCGCATAAAACTCGCTTCTAAAACATATTTTGGACTGCAGTAAAAATACTTCAAAACAAAACCAACTTTGTGACAAGTTGGACACTCCGCCATTCTGCTTTTAATTATTCAACTCTTCGGTACGTACCTTTGTAAGCCTCGAAAATTTTCAGTTTCAATCAATTGTCCGCGGTTGATATTTAACAAAAGTTCAGACGATACTATTTTATTATTTATTTTATTCAAAGGATTTTATGAAAATGTAATATTTAATGTTTTGCTGTATTTTGTTTGTAAGTGGCTCTCGGTTTTGTGTTTGAATTTGTTATTTCGGGTTTCGCTACTCAAATGAGCTTTTCTTGTGGTTTTAATAAAGGGATGATGAAACCAAAAATGTTTAGAACTAAGGATCATATCGGGTACTTTGGTAGAAATATTCATAAAAACCAAATAATGAACTAAATATTTCATAAAATTGAGAAAAAAATTATCACTCGTACTTTCATTATTATACATAACTTATACATGCTTATACTTTCATAATTATACAGTTATTGCTCTCGCTAAAGTACGATGTGTAAATTATACGAGACCAATTTTAAACATTATTCTGTGACTGATAAATTCAAAAATTGATAAACTTAAGAAAACAACCAACAATCAACAAATCCAAACACACAATACCAGTATTTCCCAAGCACTAACTTGTATACTTAGCTTCTAGACCAAGTTAAAATTAGGTGTCACAGTTAGCTTCCAAGTTTAAGTCATCTGGACCCGTAACAATGGCCAAAGATTTGTGTGCTAACCAACTTTCTTCATTTGTCAAGTTTCATTCGATATTTCAATGGAAAATGTTGCTACGTCCACAAACTTATCATTACACTTCAAAAACATTATTTTGGTCCTTTGATACGAAACCATAAAGTTGAGATTTCAATAAAGCGTTGGTAAAGTTAAATTTGCAGCTGTGACGTAATATTTTCCGCGCCACCTGTGAGAAATCATGATTTCGGATATAAAATATGATTTTGTATACAATGGCGTCGCTGACATGGTGGTTTTAATACAAAATATTACTTTGCGATCAGTACTGAGATTTGTAAGATCACAACGTTGTGTTAATTTCAGAAAACAAATATTTTCCTTGACTTTTTCCTGGTCTTCTTTTCCTTTAAGTTTGATTTTGTTTATTTGAACCAGCCTCCGAAATTATAAAGCAGTTGTTAGAATTGGAATTGCTTACTAAACTATATGTACATACTTTACTTTTCATTATGACTTTGTCTTTTAAATAGGCATGTATGTTATCTTATAAATGTTATACTTATATTATACCAGCGACCCGCCTCGGCTTCGCGCGGGTGCAAAATGAATGAATTATACATATAAACCTTCCTTAAGAATCACTATCGATTAATAAAAACTGCATCAAAATCCGTTGCGTTGTTTTAAAGATCTAAGCATACATAGGGACAGACAGACGGCGGATAGCGACTGTGTTTTATACTATGTAGTGGTTAAGCTGAAAAGATGGTTTGAACATGTTCAGAAACTAATGGTGTGAATTGAAAAAGAAATTTTTTTTAGAGTCTATTTATTGATCGAAGAAGGCTATATACTATAACAAAGCACGCTACGATAAATAAGATAAGTAGCCACTATGTACGTACATACATAAAACTAAGCAAAATTCTGCCATCGAATCACCTTCCCAGAAGAAAAGTCTTTTTCGGCAATACAAAATCTTTTTAAGTAATAAATCAAAATAAATAATTTGCTTGAAGCACTTGAATAATTGAAAAACTCGGCTTCTTTTCTGAAGGTAAGTCTTGAGAATCGTGATAAATGTCTTCATTATGATTATTTATAAACGAATTAAAACGATAAACACGCAATCAGAGATAAGATGGCGATTTCACAGAGGAATACTTAAAGAGATCTCGTGAAGAGAATGGTTGTAATATTTCTAAAACGAAAGATTTTTCAATTATCAGGTTACGAAGCAATTTATTTTATTTTGGATGTTATTTTACCCGACTGTAGGAAGGGTATTGTTTTTCGCACGTACTTTATATGTATATGACTGCACTATTGGTGCGGTGGTTGGGCAACCGTAACTAGCTTCCGCGCAACGTGTCGCTGGTTCGATTCCAGCTCGGAACAGCTTGCGTGACCCACAGATTGTTGTTACGAGTCTGAGTGTCATGTGTATGTGAACTTATATGTTTGTAAACGCACCCACGACAGAGGAGAAAATCGTAAAGTGGAGCAATGTTTAAAAAAAATTATATATAGGTAATGTTCTTTATTAATATTATTATGAATTATTTTAGGTATTTAACGGGCAATTTCTATTATCATCATCAATCCGTTTCTTTCTGCTGCTGGACACAAACGCAATTAACACGTCATTAAGTGTGGTATACAGCTCTTTGCATCCAGCCGCTACTAGACAACTGAGCAGTGCGACAGTCGCCGCGTCGCAGGTCCCGAAATGCTGCTTATGAAT